CCAAGGTTAGGTAGTCACTCCTGGGAAGGTAAACACAACACTAGATCGTGTTTCGAGCCATGGAGTGCCCCCAAGCCCCGGGGTGATTGATGCATCCTTAATAGCATTTAAGGGGTCTGTCTGCTTGTCTCCAGAAACATTAGTAAGGCATGTATGTGCTCTAGACTGCCTGGGCATTAGAATTGGCATGTTACTTTTGGCATCCTAATTAATTCCTCCCTCATAGTTGGCAGTGGGGGATGCATGTGCTGTGTTCAGGGTACATACAGCAGAGACCTGGGAACACTACCTGTGTTCAGTTTTACAAGTTAGTGTGGTAGCCTGTTAGCCACACTGGAAAGTCCCTTATGAAGTTAGGGCCTCCCCTGGGAAGGAAGCCAGTTTAGCATCCCCACTAGAAAATCACAGGAGATAAAGCAGTTGGCTTATGATAAGGGCCATACTCCTGAGGAAATGCTAGCTTTGAACTGCCAGAAGCCAAAATGAGATGCCTGAGAAGAGATTTGTGTTTGGCATTACATACCAATCCCTGAGGGGGAACTAGTTTTTGGGGTGGTGCCAGGCTCTATGACGGCTAGGCAAGTAAGTTCTCTTTACCTAAGTTATATATCCAGCCCCACACCTCCCTCGCCCTTAGTTTTTGTAGACATGGTCTAACATGTAGACCCGATGGGCTGGGACCCACTGTGTGTGTGCACAGTGTGAGTTTGCCTAGGATTTTGGGAGGATGTAAGAAGGAGTCAGATCTCATGTAACTGAAGTTTCGGTAGTTGTAAGGCACCTTGTAGGGCAACCCATGTGCTTTGCCAGAGAAGTGCTCTTAACAAGTGAGTCATTTCCAGCCCCAGTGTGTAAGGGGACAGCTCCCTGTACATTTCATCCCTGGGCACCCAGGTAATGGGCAGTAATGACAGGGCTCATTTCCAGGCCCTGACCCTGGCTGTGGGTCCAGGCAGGAGTTTTGTGGGATACTGATGTGCTTTTGGGAAGGTGTGCTGCCCACCTTTCAGACACTGGCTTCCTAGGCACTGTCATGCCCTGGGGGAAGGTCTGAGGTGGTTAATCATTGTCAGCTCTGGGCAGCAGGTCTGCTTGGGCTGGTGTAGGAAGAGGGCACACTCCTGTCTGGCTTCTGGTGACCCAGTTAGGGCCCGTCTGAGGGACTGAAGTCCAAGGCTGTGTGGGAACCCACCACTGACCCTGCATGAGGTCATGCATGTCCTTGCTTTAGGCCTCTGACTCCACCCCAGCTCCTGACTCCAGCATGCCGCCCCCTCACGGTGTGCCTTGAGGGAGTGAATCCTCAAGCGTCCCACCATGGTCCAGCCTCCCACTCACGGCAGGCCCCTCAGATTACTTGGTGACACTGATGTGGTCTGAGGGGAAATGCTCCTTCTGAACACAGGCCAGCAGCCTTACTGAAAGTCTGCCTTTCTGGCCTCAGGAACTGGCCGCAGTCAGCTAGTTTGTTCTCCCAAGTCATGGTGTCTCCTGATGGGACTGGATCAGACACTTCCCTGGGCTGTGGGGAGCCCAGAGAGACCTCGTGTTGAGAACAAAGTCCCAGCACTGGGCCATGTCGGGCAGAGGAGTCTCATCTTCTGTTTGTCTGTGTAAGAACAGCGGATCTTTAATGTACGGATTAATCAGCCAAGGATCTTGATAAAGTTTAAAACCCTGGTGGAGCAGGTTAGTTAGGTTCAGCCTGAGACTGAGACTGTAGCTAATGCCTGCATTTCAAGTCCAAGGTTCCGATGTAATGAGGTCCGCATGCCCAGTTTGCAGAGTGCTCATGCTTAGGCAAGTACAAGGACGCAGTATGGTCTCCCTTGAGGAAATCACAAATACACCCTTGGGGGCCACGGGGCCTGTTCATCTGAGCTACACAGCACCCCCTGGTGGACAAGAAGCAGATCTTGTACTCTGGCAGCAGCACTAGGTGCTGCTTCTAGAAGGTTCTCTGGGTAGATAGCCTTTCGTGGTGAGTGTTTGAAACAGGAGCAAGGAAACCAGATGGGCAACTGCTCTCTAGGCAGAGTATTTGAACACAAGTGTATGTGGTGAGTGACTTCCTTGGGCTGTACAGTGTGAACAGAGGGGATGAGTGATATTCCAGGCCTGGTGCGACCTGATGCCTGTGGATAGCTGTCA